ACATCTGCAGTGTACTTTACATAATGTACTTTACATAAAACAATGTTTAAACTTTTTTTTTGTAAGCTACTGTAATATTCGGGTTCTTTGCTGTGGCAGCACATTACTAATCTGACTTTAACAGCCACTGTAAACCCACACACACAAATACGTTGCCATCCAGTTGATTCCAACTCATGGCAACCCTGTGTTTCTCAGAGTAGAACTTTGTTCCACGGGGTTTTCAATGGCTGGGTTTTTGGAAATAGATGGCCAGGCCTCTCTTCTGAGGCAATTCTGGGTGGGTTTGAACTGCAAACCTTTTGGTTAGCAGCCAAGCACATTAACCATTTGCACTGCTCAGGGACTCCTACAGCTACTTCAGCTTTAATAAAGAATATATTTTGAAAATCAATTCCCTTCTCCTCTCCTTTTGTTGCCTCTCTAGTCTATACATTGGCATTCTGCAATTTTGTCTGATTTCCCAACTTTTCCTTCTTCTTGCATTGCCTCCCTTTACCTTTATCTTTCTCAATAGGACTGTACAGTAGAAGTGAAAGTAAGAGAGAAAGGTTGATATTGAAAAAAATAAAAGAATGAAATAAAGAAAACCAAGTGCAGACAGATGAGGATATAAAAGCACAGGCCTTGCTTTATTCCAAATCTATTCCTCCCAAGATTATCCTGGATTTTTGTCACATTTAAGTAGGATAATACCATCCCAATTTAAAAACCACTGTCATATTTCCAGAAAGCAAATATTTCATCCTTATTACCTTTACAGACATTGTAGCCCGGAAAAAAAAAAAAGTAAAATGAAAGCATATCAAATTTGAAGTCAGAACATCTGTAGTTGAATCCCAGCTCTACAACTTACTGACCTGCTGCCTTTTGGAGCAGTCTTCTAATTATTCTAAGGTTCAATTTCTTTATATTTTAAATGGAGGTGGTGATAATATGATTCAGGACATCATAGTGTTTGATAATCTGTAAAGTTTTACATCGGTATTAGCAATTATCATTAGGGAGCCATGGACAGGCCAGGGAAAAATGACAGCAGCAGAAAAAAATCATAATAGCAGAAATGAAAATGAGAAATGGCTTTCTCCTCTATCTCATCAGTGTCAGTCTCATGGAGAAGTTTCCAGAACTTCTTGGATATCCCACGTGATATATGACTGCTACCCAGCATACAAAATCCCCCGTCTCTAGTTGTGGTAAACAGCATGTGGAGGCAGAAACAGGCAAAAACATAGCATGAATTATAAAAGGCTGCCCCAAGAATGGGAGCAAAGTCTGGGCCATTGCTTGAACTCAGTCAAGTTTTTTCTAAGACATGTTACCTAATAGATGTTTTGTCCTTACCTGCTAAGCATTTCATGGCTTAGTGATCATTTAGGTTTTGATTCTGTGCTCTGATCTTCCATAGATGTCTTATCTGGCTCTACTGAACTTTCTACACTTTTGACTTGTCTTCTCTGAGCTCTAACCCAAACTGTTGCTGTCGAGTCCATTTCAACTTACAGTGATCCTGCAGGACAGAGTACAATGCTCCATAGAGTTTCCAAGGTTGATAATCTTTATGGAAGCAGACTGTCGAATCTTTCTCTTGCAGAGCGGTGGGGGGTTTGAACCGCCAACCTTTTGGTTAGCAGCTGAGCAGTGAGCCACCAGGCTCCTCTCTCTGAACTCTAGACATATTGGTTCACAGTTTTAGCCCTTGGTAGTGGTCTTAATTATAATGATGAAAAAGTGCTGGTATTACAGAACCAAAATGTGCTCATTAAAAGTCTATTTTTTCACTCTTCCTTAGCAGATAAAAAATTGCAAGAACTTTAACTTTACAGTTCTTTCTTTTGTGTATTTTTATAAACTACCTCAAATCTTACAAGGAACAAAGTAAGCAATGAATTAATGAACAAATAAACTGAAAAAAAAAAAAACCATACAAATGAAGAGAAACTAATAACTAGTCATTTGCTAGTATAATTTCATATCATAGGAGGCCCAACATGAGGAATAGGAAGACCACTGGACTTAGAGTCAAGCACACTGAGACTGGATGTCAAAATTGTAATGTAATGGCTCTACTGTATTGAGCAATTCAATTATTTCAGAGATTCAGTTTCCTAACTGAAGAAAATGGGAATACCTAAAGAACAATGAAAGAAAATATATGTGAAGTTTTATAGATTAAATTGTGTCTTTCAAAAATATGTGTTGAAATCCTAACCCCTGTACCTGTAAATATAATCTTGTTAGAAAATAGGATGTTTTTCATTTGCTATGTTAATAGGTCACACCAGTGTAAGGTGGATCCTAAACCTAATCACTTTTGGGTTATAGAAAGATCAGCATTGACATAGAGACACACACAGTGTGGAGAGGAAGATAAACAACAGAGATGGATGCATCTACAAGTCCAGGAACGTTAAGGATTGTTGGCAGATACTAGAAATAGATACTGAAATAGATAAGGAAGGTATTCCTCCTAGAGCCACACCTGGAATTCAGACTCTAGCCTCCTGAACTGTGAAAAAACAAATTTCTGTTCTTTAAAGCTCACTTGTGGTATTTTCCTGTTACAACAGTTCTAGGTAACTAAGACCCTTAGCATGATTACTAGCTCACAAAAGGTACTCAATAAATGTTTGTTAAAACCAAAATATGAATATGATCCATGATGATCACAATAATTCACACTTTTAATTCATAGGTAATACAGTCATTGAACTTTTTTTCACACTTAAAGCCAGTATAGCCAGCAGTTCTGAGGTCTTTTCCTCAATGAAATTTAGGCTTGCTACACATATTATACAAACAACGAAATCATGTACAAAGGGTCCTCTCCATGAAATGAGACTACAAAAAATATGGCTTATTAATGAATATATTTATACTACTTTGTAGCAACTCAGTTTTCTATCTTTAGAATTAATTGAACCACAAGTATTATTTGGTAAGAATATCTGATTTTTTTTAATAATAAAAATTGTAAGACAGGTCAAAATATCCTAATTTGAATTCATTTTCTATTTACAGAATTCAATATATAGGAAAAACACTAATGTTATGAAAAAATAAAATAAAATATGCAAACAAAGAATATCACTGTAGTGGTTTTGAGAAATATCTCTGTACATTGATTTTCTTAATCTGTTAGTATGTAAAAATGCAATAATAGGTATGCTGACATAGTCTGGCAAAGTAGGTACTAAATAAGATGTTTCTCAGAGTGTGTTCAGAATGAAAGGGATAAGACAAAGAAAAAAGAAAGTATAGGTGTGAAAAAAATTAAACTAGAAAAAAGATAAATCCACAGGAAATATTAGTGCAGTGGCATTCATAGTGATACACAAAGGAAGCATTTGGCAATTCTGGGCAATCATTCATAGTTTTTTTAAAAATACTTCTTTAAATCTATGCCCAATACATGCTATGACTAAATCTAGAGACATGATTATTCTCTGCCTTATTTTGAAGAGATGGTCTAATTCTCGATTTTTTCTTAATTGTATATTTTTTAAAAGTCTCAGACTCTCTGAAGAGACTTTTTCATTCCATGACTTACGGTTAAGGATGTACCTAAACATTTTAATTTTTAAGGAAGACTTATATAGATATCTCAACTTGCTTTAACAACCCATTACAGAATTTTACTTTCCTGCATTCCATGACATTCTTTACAGAATCCACATTTCTCAAGCTGCAGATTAATAGTATTTTCCATTACTGTCCTTAGAGGAGAGAGAAAACAGCTGCATAAGCCCTTTGCGTACTTACTTGGAGATCATTATATATTAATTTGCCTTTTCGACTTTGGTTCTCCAGGCCAAATAACACCACTTCTTTTTCTCATAGGTCTGATTTTCCAAGCTTAATCATCTTTGTTGTGGTCCTCTCAACCGTCCAAGCTTCCATATCCTTCTTTAGATGAAGTTCCAGAATGGTTCACTGGGGCCTAATGGAAGTTTGGAGGGCTCATGATATTTTTTTCTAAGCTAATTAAGTGCTGAATAAGCACTTTTGTAGAAAAATTAATACTATTTAAATTTCAAATGAATTCTTACAGAACGATATTGAGCTCTTGGCTACACCTAAATGTTGGTCCTCAAATAATCTATTGAGGGATGACTTAATTGATACAGATAAACTGGAAATTTGTCTAAAGAAGGATGATTATGACACTTTAGAACGACAAACTCATACTGACCTCATCATTAAGAAAAACGACAATGATGGAAACCAACGGGAAGTCTAAAATATAGCTGTCATTTTTTCTCTGGGTCTAGCTTCAGACTAACATCCCCTCATATGAAGGCTTTCCTAACCCATGGCCCCTTCTTGGGTTCTCACAGCTCAGTTCTTCCATTTGCCATAGTGCTTATCACACTATATTTAGTTTATGAGTACTAGTCTTCCTCCTCCTTTTCAACTGTCCTCCACATTGTCATGATAGCTAAATGATTTAACACAGACATAAACGTTACAGTTTTCTCTAAACATAACATAAACTTTCACACTTGCATATCTTTACATGTTTCCTCTCTCCAGATTCTTTTCCAAATTATAGCTCAGTCATCACTTCTCTACAGCCTTCCTTGATGCTCCAATTTCTACCTTCATAACAGAATTAGGTTTTCCTTCGTGTTCCTATAACAATTTATACATATTTGATCAATTATTATGTTTCAGTATAGTTACTTGTGTATCACTCTTTTATTTTCAATACTGTGCAATCATCAAGGGTAATTCCATATCTTATTCTTCTCTTTAAATACATTATTTAGGGCATAATATCACCTTAATTACATAAATATTTATGACATTGAATTTTTAAATATTTTATCTCTACTACTAAAGTGTAAGCATCTTAAGGGCAGAACAGTAAACATGTTTCCCCAGAGCACGCTATAAATATCTAAAAAATGGATGGATAAACAATAATACAATGATATAACAAACATTCATACACGATACTAAAAATAAGCCAACACCATCACAGATGTCTTTAGACTTACCGGTCCATGGCATGTGAGTATACCATCTTCCATCTTCTCACACTGGGGGTCACACTCCACACAGATGGAGCCATTCTCAAACTCCCGAAATTCTCTGTGAAAACATTGGCTGCATGAGACAGTGTAAGCAAACAAGCTGTCAACGTAACAAATGATGTAACATCTGCTAAAGTCCTATCGGCAGAGTCAATTCTAGAGTTTGTTTCTCTAAACGCTTGGAGCATCAGAAACATTTCCCTGTACATTAGGAATAACTTCTCCAGTAGGAGAAATGATAAACCACAGCCAGCTGGCTCTCCTTGCTCTCCATGGGGTTCAATGCTAGACTAGTTCAAGAAACCTCTCTCCTGCTAGAGGTATGACACAGCAGAAGTATTTACCATTTTGAATACAGCTGTGCCTGTACTTCCAGTACTGATCTTGATTTTCAAGGAGTTTGCCTTTATATATAATTTTACTCTTGGCTGAAGCTTTATTTTTCTAAACTCTGGAAGAAGTTTTTTTTTTTTTTTTCCTTGTTGCTAAGTTATATGAACGTTCCCTAGCTTTGTCCTTCAAATCCCAAGACCCTTGAATTTATTTTTGGTGAAACTTCAAAAAATGCTTTGATTTCTTTTCTCCTTTAAAAATATCTGCCTTGGGGAATGAGAGAAAGTAACTCTCTATGGTAGATTTTAGTTTTTTAGATTATTGATCTAGTATCACAACTTCTTTTTCAATTTAAATTCTTTCTGAAGTACTTCTATATGGCATAAAATAGAAAATTGTTTGATGGTAACCTCCTACAACTTTCAAATTGAAATCTCCTGGGATGATGGTCATTCCTTCCCACATTCTTACATTTTTGTGGCTATTTGTATAATAAATGTTTTCCAATAAACTCCAAAACCGTCATTTCCATAATTGGGTATCAAGCCATCTACAATATGTTTAAGCAGCTCCATTCCCACTTATGTGCAAAAGGATGAGGTACTAGGTAAAGATTTAGGATATAACTTATGAGACATTAACAAAATGTGACTAAATACATTGACTTCATTATTTTGTGCCTTTGTATCAGGAGCTACCATTCCAAACCAACAGCATTACAAATACAGCAATTACATATGAATTAGATAATAAATTCAAATATATTTTTCCCTAGACTGATTTATTCAGTTTATTTTCTTTCCACCATAGCAAACTATCTCATTTGGTGATAGTAAAGCCTTAATAAACTACAGAAGCTGAAAGGGTGCACTGTATCTTCTGTTGGTTACATTATGACCACATGTACTCCAAGGCAAAATAAAGTTTGGTTTTTCAAAATGAATAGACAAACTTATGGTTTAATTATATATGCAACACAAATTTCAGTTACAAAAATTTTGCATTTTTAAGGTGAGCTGTTGGTTTGTAATGGATCAAACATTTTATGAATTTTCTTGAGTTTAAAATCTCAACTACATTAAAACAGATTTTTTTTCTTTTTTTTTTTGGTCTACATGAGTGTTATAAAGTACTCAACATAGGGAATCTTCAGAAAATGAACATCAAAATAATCTTGTGTGGGGGACGGGGATAGGGATAAACTGATAAGAGAATCAAAAGCATTGATAACTAAAGAGTTATGCTAAATAAAGGTCATAATTTTTATGGTACTAAACTATAAGCCATGATTTTCCCCCTCTCTTTCTCTAAAGCCCTCTTCCCCTCACAGAGTTGAGGAATACAATGCATGTAAGTATACAAGAAAGCCTCGGAGATACCCTAGCTGTCTCTCCTTCCATAGAGACTGTAGAGAGACTCCGCGAAGCTACTGGCTCTCTTCCTCTCTGCTCTAACAGCAGATCTTCCTTGCAGTCCTTCTTTACTTCTGCCCTTTATTCTCACTTTCTCCACCATTTTTCTTTTTCTTCACTGTCTCCTAGTGATTCTACTATGGCTTTGCCAGAGTTCCCCTTTCACTTAAATCTAAAGTAACAAATCACAGACTATTGAGCTTTGGACTTCATATACTGGTTTTTTTTTCACTTGCTGTTGCTACTTTACATTTCTCACAACTTTGTTGTTGTGTGCGTGCTTAAAAAAAAAAAAAAATCCGTTGCTGTCAAGTCGATTTTGACTCATAGTGACCCTATAGGACAGAGAAGAACAGCCTCCATAGGTTTTCAAGGAGCAACTGGTGAATTTGAACTGCTGACCTTTCGATTAGCAGCCATAGTTCTTAACCACTGCACCACAGGGCTCCCTATACTTAGGGCCCTGTTATTACTACAAAAATCCATTAAAATATTTACATTTCTTTAATGGATTTCATTGAATGACACAAATACTGAAAATGTTTTAAACTTTCAAAAACAGTATGGAAATTAGTGTTTTTTACTAAGTAAGGCTATATTTCCCCCTCCTTTAGCTAGTGTTCAATGCTTTGCAGAAAATAGAGGACAGTATATATATCCAAACATTTTTAAATTTTATTATTTCTGACAAGTTTGCAACTAAAAGAGTAAATGAAAATTAATGGCATTTTTAAAAGAGACCAAGATGAAAATCAGACACCTATGAGTTCTAGTGTGGGCTCAATTCTTCAACACTGTTGTGACTTTGGCCAGTATACTCAATTACTCCAGTTCTCACGGTATATATATAAAATGCTACAGTTAAATCAAACTATATCTAAAATCCATTCTCTCTTTAAAATGTATATATATACATATAATCAATAAACTTTTAATGTAACATTTGTTTAACAGAATTAAAGTCTATTACATTAAATTTTAATGCCATCAACCTTTATACAACCATGAATGCAATTCATATGAGACATGTCAGCACATAATCTGTTATTCATTATCAAATTTATAAGCTGAAATTTTCCTGAAAAAATATTAAATTCTTACTTAAAACTGTTTTTGTACTTAAATTTCAAATTTTTACCTTCTTCCCCCTAAATTTCAGGAATAAAATTGGTTTTGGTCATCCTTCAAAAGAGAGACACATCAATATTATTATGATCTACAGATTTTTATCCTTTCTATATAAAATGCAAAACTACAAAAGTTATTGCAAATGGAATTATATCCCCTCAAAACAATTCTATGTGTAGTATCCTTTAAATAAGAGCTCTCATCAGAAATCTTTGACAGCACATACATTTTGAAATGTTACCATTTTCTTCTAATCTTTGAATATGAACCAATCACTATCTCAAAGCTCATGAGGCAAAGGCAATACTGTAAGTAGCCTTACCCATCATAGAGGTTACAAGACTCTATGCAGGTCCTTCCCCTACTGAAGCGTCGGCATGACAGGCACTGGTCTGGCCCAGGTCCCCAACAGCCATCACTTGAACAGAGATGGTTGCACACCATTCCTTCTGCAGCTGAAAAACACACCAAAATCAAAGTGAAATAAAACAGAAGTCTGTCTCAAAGCTTACGATTCTAATATAAATCTTCCTAAGTGAAGCTATTTCTAAAGGAACTTGTTTGAAAGAGATTTGTGCTAGGCTACTTACGTTGCTTAGACAACCATGATGCCCTACCCTACTCCCAAGGTCTTCAGTATTGCAGAGCTCCAGTCACTGTGTTTACATAGCAACAGTCTTTTTCATAAGTTTGAACAAATGTCAATCTTGTATGTCAAACTCTGTTTCTTATAAGCAGAATATAGTTGGTCTAACTCTTTTATCCAATCTAAAAATGTCCACCTTTTAACTGGGATATTTAAGCCATTTATATTTAATGTGATAACTGACATGTTTAAATTGAAATAAGTCACCTTGCTACTTGTTTTCCATTTGTCCAATTTTTTTTTCTCTTTTTTCCTTCTTTTTTCTTCCATGTTTCAGATTAACTCTATTTTGGGGGGGATTTATTTTATCTGGTTGGTTGACTTCTGAGTTACATACACATTTTTGATGTGCTATTTAAGTGGTATATTTCAGGTTTGCAGTGTACGTATTTTTAAATTAAACATTTCCTGTTGAAATAATTGTAGATTCATCTCTACTTGTAAGTGATAATTCAGAGGCATCATATGTACTTTCCCCTAATGGTAACATCTTACAAAATTATTTTACAATATCATGACCACGATATTAATGTTGATACAGTCATGATATGGAACATTTCCAGCACTGCAGAAATCCCTCCTGTTGCCTTTTATAGACACAGCCATTTCTCTCTAGCCCCTATCTCTTCCTTATCTCCCTCCCCTACAACTAATTTGGCCTTCATTTAAGAATTTTTGTCATTTCAGTAATACTATATAAATGGAGCCATACAGTATGTAACTTTTTGGGATTGACATTTTTCACCTAGAATAAATCTCTGCAGATTTATCCAGGTTGCATTTTGTATTAATAGTTTATTTCTTGTGATTGCTAGTAATATTTCACGGTATGGATGTACTACAGTTTCTTTAACCATACACCCATTAAATTAAATCTAGATTGCTTCCAGATTGAGGCTATCACAAATAAAATTGCTAAAAATATTCCTGTACAGGCTTTTGGGTGAACATAAACTTTTATTTCTGTGGGATAAATGCCCAGGAGTTCAACTCTTGGGTCATTTCACATTAGCATTTTAGATTTTTAAGAAACTGACAAACTGTTTTCCAAAGTGGCTGTACCATTTTATATTCCCACCAGCAAGGTTTAATTGGTCCAGTTTCTCTGCATCCTCTCCAGCATTTGATGTTGTCACTATTTTTCAGATTAGCCATTTTGATAGGTGTGTAGAGATAGCTCATTATGGTTTCAATTTGAATTAATACAATAGGTAATGATACCGAACATCTTTTCATGTGCTTATTTGCAAGGTGTATATTCTCTTTGGGGAAATGTCTCTTCATTTCTTTTGCCCGTTTCAACTGGACTATTTTTAAACTGGAAATTTGAGTGTTCTTTACACATTCTAGATACATGTGGTTTGCAAATGTTTTCTCACAATCTAGCTTGTATTTTCATCCTCTTAATGGGATCTGTCACAGAGTAAATGTTTTTAATTTTGATGAAGTCCAACTTATCAATTTTTCCTTTTATGGATTGTGTTTTTGGTGTCAAGACTAAAATCTCTTTGCCTTGCCATAGATGCTAAAGATTTTTTTCTAAAGGTGTTATCATTTTATATTTTACATTTAAATTCAAGATTAATTTTCAGTTAATTTTTTATAAGGTATGAGATTTCAGTTAAGGTTCTTTTGAATCTTTGTCAAAAATCTGTTGGGCTTATTTGTACGGGTATATTTCTGGGTTCTTTATTCTGTTTCATTGAATTAAGTATCTATTCTTCCACTAATACCGCATAGTCTTGATTACTGTATCTATGTAAAAGTCTTGATGGCAGGTAGACTGAATTCTCTCGCTTTATTTTTTCTTTCAAAATTGTTTTAGCTGTTCACATTCTTTGACTTTCCATATAAGTTTTATAATAATCTTATATATATTTCAAAACCTCTTGCTGGGATTTTGATAGGAATTGTGTCAAACCTATAGAGCAATATGAGGAGAACTGACATCTTTACTATTTTGAGTCTTCCAATCCATGAACATATTTCTACATATATTTACATATATTTCGGTCTTCTTTGATTCTTTTCATCAGCATTTTGTCATTTTCAGCATACAAGCTCTGTGCATGTTTTGTTGGATTTACACCTAGGTATTTAATTGTATTTTTAGTTACTATAAATGATACTGTATTTTTAATTTCAGTACCCACATGTTCATTGCTAGTATGTAGATACAATTGATTTTGTATCTTGTATCCTATGACCATGCTGAATTCATTTATTTATTCTATGAGTATTTTGTTGATTACTTAAGTTCTTTTTTATAAAGACAATCATGCCATCTACAGAACACAGACAAATTTATTTCTTCCTTTTCTATCTGTATGCTTTTTATTTGCACTTCTTGCCTTGTTGCACTGGCTTAAAATTTCTAATACTATGTTGAGTAAGAGTGGTGAAAGCAAATATACTTACTTTGTTCCCAGTCTTGGAGGAAAATACTCAGTCTCACCATTAAGTATATTGTTAGCTGCAGGTTTTTGATAGATGGTCTTTATCAAGTTGAGGAAGTTCCCCTCTAATCTTTTTCTGAGATTTTTTATCGAGCATAGGTGTTGACTTTTTCTAATTATTTTTGGTGTCAATTGATATGATCATGTGATTTTCCTTCTTTAACCTGTTAATATCGTAGATTATACTGATTTATTTTCAAATACTGAGCCAGCCTTATATCCCTGAAATAAATCCTATTTGGCTATGGTGTATAATTCTTTTTATATATTGCTGAATTCTATTTGCTGATATTTTGTTAAGAATTTTTGCTTTTACAATTTTGAAGGTTATTGGTCTTCAGTTTTCTTTTTCTTTTTTTGTACTCTATTTGGTTTTGGTATGAAGGTAATATACTAGATTCATAAAACAAATTGGGAAACGTTCCTTCCTTTTTTTTTGATACAGGAGAATGTATAAAATTGGTATTGATTTTTCATATATTTGGTAGAATTCTCCATGAAACCATTTGGGCCTGGGTATTTCTTTTTTAGGATTTTCAAAATTATTAATTTAATTTCCTTAATAGTTATAGGGCTATTCAAATTATCTGTTTTATTTTGGATGAGATGTTGTAGCTTCTGTTTTTCAATTAATTGTCCATTTCATCAAAGTTATCAAATTTATATGTGTAGAGATGTTTGTAGTACTCCCTTATTTTCCTTTTGACATCTGCAGGGACAGTTTCATTCCTGGTATTGGTAATTTATGACTTCTCTCCTTTTTTATCTTTGTCAGTCTTGTTAGAGGTTTGTCATTTTTAAAAAATCTTTTCCAAGAACCAGCTATTTGTTTCATTGATTTTATCTATTGTTTTCTATTTCCAATGCCATTGATTTCTTTTCTTATTTTTGTTATGTTCTTCCTTCTACTTGCTTTGCTTATTTTCATTTTCTATGTTCGTGAATAGAAGCTTAGATTACTGATTTGAGACTTCTTACATTTCTGATGTGTTCATTTATTGCTATGAATTTCCATTTCTGTACTGCTTTAGCTGTTCCACAAATTTTGTTGTATTTTCATTCTCATGAAGTTCACAGTATTTTTGAAAAATTTCCCTTGAGACTTTCTTTTCCTTTTTGTGGGTTATATAGTAATGTATTATTTAGTTTCAAAGTGTTTAGAGATTTTTCTGTTATTAATTTCTACTTTGAGTTCACTGTGGTTACAAAACACACTTTGTATGACTTCAATTATTTTAAATTTGTTGAGGTCTCATTTATGGCCAGGTATATAGTCTATCTTGGTATATGTTCCAAGGGCACTTGAAAAGAATGTGTATTCTTCTATTGTTGGATGTTGTATTAATGTTCATTAGATCCTGTTGTTTGATGGTCTTCTGAGTTTTTCTATAGCCTTGCTGATTTTCTGTCTAGTGAAAGGGATGTTAATGTCTTCAATTAATATTATATATTTATCTATTTCTCCTTTCAGTGCTATCAGTTTTTTTCCTACCATATTTTGCAGCTCTGTTGTTTGGTGGATACACATTTAAGACTGCTATGTCTACTTGGTAGATTGACCCTTTTATCTATATAATTTTCTTTGCTCTGACACTTTATCTGATGTTAATATAGCCATTTCTGCTTTCTTCTGATTAATGTTTGCATGATATATCTTTTTACATATATATATTTCTATCTTTAACTGGTCTATATCATCATATTTGAAGTAACTTTCTCAGAGCAGCATATAGTTGGATCATTGTTTTTAATCCTCTGAAAATCTCGATCTTTTGATTGGTGTATTTAGACTATTTAATTGTAATGTAATTATGGATACGCTGGGTTTAAGTCTCTCATTTTATTTTTCATTTTCTGTTTGTTCTCTTTTTCATTTCTCTTTTTTAATTCTTTTTGCTTGCCTCCTATGAATTAAACAAAATTTAATATTCCATTTTGATTTACCTATACTGTTTTCAAGTATATTTTATTCTATAACTTTTTTAGTGGTTTCTCTAGGTATTAAATACGTATAACTTATCACAGTCTATTGTGATAACTTATACATATATAACTTATCATTACCAGCTTGAGAGAAGTGTAGAAATATTACCTCGCTTTAAGTCCCTTTATCCTTCCCATTTTTAATATAATTCTCTTAAATATTTCCTCTACATACATTTATCACCTGCTAACCTTCATTGAAAATTGCCCTTTCTTATATCCTATTTTAATTCATTAACTTTATAGCTATCATTTCAAGTAACAGAAAAACATACTTCTTAAAGATAATCTGAAGGAACAGAGACTGGATAGACTATTTTTAAGTGTTCGTAGGACTGTTCCTCTTCACAAAATATATTATTAATTATTT